CAGGCAGACATTCATTCAAACCTATAGTCTCAAAGATTGAGTTTTTCCTCATAGCCTTATAAGGCTCACTCAATTAGGTCTTTTAGTGTCTCTTGGTCTTTGCAGCATCAGGCAGCCTATTAAGGCTGCCACCTGGTATTCTGTTAACACGTTCTCTAAATTCTAGTAGGTGGACAGTTTGGCCTCATCGGATGGCAGCCTTTGGTGTAACGCCCTTCAGACAGATTTTTGATCTGCAATCCGTCCCAATTTTGTGTTGCTTATGGTGGACCCATTAGCAATCGTTTGCTGGGTTGTCCAGCTATCATTTGGATTGCTTTTGGATTTCCCAAAGGTTTAAGACTTCCTGTGCCACTCAAAGGATGAAAAAGAAAATGGGATAATTGTGCTTGCCATAAAATCATCATCTTGGAATCCTTTGAGGCCTCACCCTTCTGTCTTTTATAATTGTGCTCTCGGTACTCCTTTGCCATAAAATGAGACATGCTAGTATTAAGGGTTTATAGGACTTCATGTGTCTCTCAGTGGACTCCAAAAACGAATTTACAGTATAAAAATCCTATTATATTGCCGTTTACCTGTTTCCTTTGTTATTCACAAGATTACCAGGTGAAAGCAGACTTCCTGTCCTAGAGTAGGTACTTTCACTTCTTCACTGTATCTCTGGAGGGAACCATGGTTGCTACACAGGCTGGACTTGGGTGTCCTCCCTTCATTCTATTACTTGATACAAGGGGATAAGTAGTTTACAAAAGAAACATTGGATTATTTTTGCTTTACAGTGCTCAGCATAAATAAATACACCCCTTTTGAAAAGTAAGATTTTAATCAATGTCTCAATGAACACATGAACAATGTCCAAGTTTTATTTTATTTGTTTAGCTCATAATGTGAAAGTAAGGTTAATAATATAACTTAGATTACAAAATCTTCCGTTTTTACTCAAATTAGTTGATGCAAAAATGAATACACCCCACAACAAAAACTACCCCATCTAGTATTTTGTATGACCTCCATGATTTGTAAGGACAGCACCAAGTCTTTTAGGCATGGAATGAACAAGTTGGCTACATATTGCAACATCTATCTTTTTCTATTCTTCAAGCATGACCTCTTTTAGAGCTTGGATGCTGGATGGAGAGTGATGCTCAGCTTGTCTCTTCAGAATTCCCCATAGGTGTTCAATTAGGTTCAGATCAGGAGACATACTTGGCCACTGAATCACCTTCACCCTGTTCTTCGGACAACCAAGGGCAATGTGTGTTGGTAGCATCTTCTCTTTCAATATAGAGCAGTACATCTGTGAATTCATGATACCATTAATGAAATGCAGCTCCCCGGCATCAGCAACACTCATGCAGCCCCATAGAAGGACACTGCCACTGCCATGTTTCACTGTAGGCACCATGCATTTTTCTTTTGTATACCTCACCTTTTTGTACGCCATACAGTTTTGAAGCCATCAGTTCCAGAAACATTTATCTTGTGCTCATCACTCCAGAGTACAGAGTCCCAGTAGTCTTCTTCTTTTTCAACAAATTCTAGGTGGGCTTTTTTGTGCACGGGCATTAGGAGAGGCTTCCTACGTGGACGACACCCATACATGCCATTCCTCTTCATTGTACATCGGATTGTGTCACGGGACACGATAACCCCAGTTTTGCTTTAGTTCTTTAACTAACTGCAGTGAACTTGCATGGTGATTTTCTTCAACCCTTATCAGAAGATACTCCTGTTGAGGTGTTAACTTGCATGGACGGCGTGGATGTCTCTGTGAGATGGTTGCAGTTCCATCTTTGTTAAATTTTAGTAACACTTTTGCTAGAGTATTCTGACTGATAAGTAAAGCTTTGCTGATCTTCTTGCAGCCTTCACCTTTCCTGTGTAAATAAATAATTTTCTTTCTCCGCTCTTGTGACATTTATCTTTCATGTGGTGCCATTGCTGACAGCAGGAAATTGGAAGGGGCTTTCTTTAAGTAACCCCCTTTTATATTCAGCTCTCTGCTGGACACCTATTTAATGAATAATTAGACTCACCTGTAGTTTAATTCTTGCTAATTAGGATTTTGTTATCTAAAATGTAGCTTTGCTCCTAAAACTGGCCATACATAAGTCGAATTCCAAAAGAATTTTCTTCCAAAAATCTTTTCTAAGAATTTTCATTCAAATTACCCACCATTAGTGGGCCACAGCAACAGCCAATTTTCGAGTGATCGGCATGTTGGAGATTTTTTGAGAAACTATCTCATTTCTAATCTATGATGGGAGAAATGTACAGTGGATATAAAAATTCTACACACCCCTGTTTAAAAAGTCAGGTTTCTGTGATGTAAAAAAATGAGACAAAGATAAATCATTTCAGAACTTTTTTTCCACCTTTTAATGTGACCTAAAACTGTATAACTCAATTGAAAAACAAACTGAAATCTTTTAGGGGGAGGGAGTAAACATAGAAAACTAAAATAATGTGGTTGCATAAGTGTGCACACCCTCTTATAACTGGGGATGTAGCTTTGTTCAGAATTAAGCAATCACATTCAAAATCATTTTAAATAGGAGTAAGTACATACCTGCCATCATTTTAAAGTGCCTCTGATTAACCCCAAAGAAAGTTCAGCTGTTTAAGTAGGTCTTTCCTGAAATTTTTCTTAGTTGCATCCTATAGCAAAAGCCAATGTCTGCAGAGAGCTTTCTAAGCACCAGAGGGATCTCATTGTTAAAAGGTATCAGTCACGAGAAGGGTACAAAATAATTTCCAATATACCATGGAACACAGTGAAGACAGTCATCATCAAGTGGAGAAAATATGGTGCAACAGTCACATGACCAAGAACTGTATGTCCCTCCAAAATTGATGAAAAGACAAGAAGAATACTGGTCTGGGAGGCTGCCAAGAGTCCTATAGCAGCATTAAAGGAGCTGCAGGAAAATCTGGCAAGTACTGGCTGTGTGGTACATGTGACAACAATCTCCTGTATTCTTCATATGTCTGGGCTATGGGGTAGAGTGGCTAAACGGAAGCCTTTTCTTACGAAAAAAACATCCACACCAACGACCCAAAGCATACAATCAAATCAACAAAGGAATGGCTTCACCAGAAGATTAAGGTTTTGGAATGGCCCAGCCAGAGTCCAGACCTGAATCCGATCGAAAATCTGTGGGGTGATCGAAGAGGGCTGTGCACAGAAGATGCCCTCACAATCTGACAAATTTGGAATGTTTTTGCAAGGAAGAGTGGGCAAATATTGCCAAGTCAAGATGTGCCATGCTGATAGACTCATACCCAAAAAGACTGAGTTCTGGAATAAAATTAAAAGGTGCTTTAACAAAGTATTCGTTTAAGGGTGTGCACATTTATGCAACAATATTAATGTAGTTTTTTATTTTTACTTCCCTTCACTCCACCTAAAAGATTTCCATTTGTTGTTCAACTGAGTTGTACAGTTTATAGGTTACATTTAAGGTGGAAAAGGTTCTGAAATTATTTATCTTTTGTCTTTTTTTTTTTACATCACAGAAACCTGACATTTTAACAGGGGTGTTTAGACTTTTTATAGCCACTGTAATAAAAAAAGAAATGAGCTTGAGCTTTGACCTGCAAAGAAAAGAAAATTCTTGGCCACAAAAATTAATTTCTGTTGCAACATGAGGTAAAATTAAAGACTTGATTGGTAAAATTTCAAAATCAATAGTGGCACCATCAGAATACGAAATGCACAAAATTTCAGGTTTTCTAAAGAAAATTTGTTTGGAATTTGACCCATGTGTGGCCTGCATAAGACTTTCATTGGGGTGTATTCATTTTTGCAACATGGTCTTGAATGAATTTGTTAGGAAAAACTTTTTTTGTGCGGGCAAATCGTGTTTGTAATCAATGGCACGCATTTGTGGGAGCATTTTGTAGTATAGTGACTCATAGAAAATGTTGATTCTGAAAGGAAAGTAAAGGTTTTCTGACAAATCTGTTGGGATGTACTCATTTATGCTGAGCACTGTAGGTTCACCTCTTGGAAAATGACAGACACCATATTTCTGGCAGGGCCAGATGTATTTTCTGCACTTGCTGAAAATGTTGGACGACTGAAAAATAAAAGCAGCCTCTACATCTAAGGAATGACAAACTGCTACATATTCGATGTTTATTCTTGGGTTTCGTTATCTTTTAAGCTATTTTGAGATTGGATTTTTGATAACATCCATGGTGTGTACTGCTATGCACTCATAAATAAATGGCAGTTAAATATAAAAGTTTGTCTCAAGCTTTCAGCTTAGCAATTTTATTAGACAACAATTTTGCAGGGGGGTCCAAAATGCAGCTACAAGGACTGCTTGAAATGCAGGCATATCTAAACAAACTGACCACAAGTCCTGCAACACATCTGTTTGTGGACATCACTATACTATTGAAAGCAGCTGATGATATAATTGTATAACATTGTTTTAGAATAATCTCTAGCTATGGCAATAAAGCTCCTTGTTTCTGATACTGAAAAACATTTTTCTCTTCCTGTATAGCTCTAATGTTCACTATATGATGGTTTTGAAATATCTGCAGAACTTTACTGGTACTTTTAGAAGGAAACTCTTTTTATCTGTAGAGTTTACCAGGGAATTTCTTTTGAAAAGTCTTTGCTTGCCCAATTACTGTTTACCAACAGCCTCTACAATATTTTTCTTCTTTCCTGTATAAAGAAATCGAATAATAGATTTGTTGATACAGAAGATATCGGTTCTTATATTCAGAAATGGTTAAAATGTACTAGTATAGTTCATAATGGAGTTATGCTAGGTCTGAACCTAAGACTTAATAATGAAAAGTAAGACTGACAGCAAGGGTAAATCTATTTTATCCAAGATCTTAAAATTTAAAATCCATGATCCTAATTTTATCATGAATTAACATTTTATCCAGCTTGGTTCAGCATAATCATTGTTCTGCATAAAAGAGTTAATATAAAATAATAGATATGAAATGACCATATCCCATGCATTTTATAGGAACAGTATGGAATAGAACCAACAATGGTTGTGCAAGGTGTGAAAATGCTTTACGTCCCTGTTATGCCTGGTCATGCAAAGAGACTGAAACTTACGTAAGTATATTACCAACTAGTAGTCTTGGTGTGATAAATTTTACTTCACATATTGTAACTGAATATACTTTCCTGTCCACCCCTAGCTGCAGTGTACAAATTTCTTTATAGACATAGGGGTTGATTTGCTAAAGGAAAATAGGCTGTGCACTCCAGGTGCACTGAAAGTGCAGTTGCTCTAGATCTAAAGGGCACATGCAAAGAAAATTTAAACAGCATTTTTGCTTGCACATGATTGGATGAAAGAAATCAGCAGAGCTTTGCCTTATTTCAGAGCTTCCCCACGGATCTAAAGCAACTGTACTTGCAGTGCACAGTATATTTACCTTTAGTAAATCAACCCCATTGTCAGGAATGGACTCAGCACTGGTGGTGGGACTCATCTGCCGTGTGGGCTGCAGTACCAGAGCTGACCAGCGGGTGCTCTCAGCAGCCAGAAGCTCACACGTGCAATCAGCCAAACCTGGGGCTGATTGCAGACAGGTGTATTTAAGGCATGACCAGGCCTGTGATCTGGGCCTTGGTGTATGTTTTCCCATGAGCCTCTGTACCTGGTATCTTGTGTTCCTGCTTCGTTGCTGACCCGGCTTGATCCTGACCTCTGCTGACCGTCTCCTGTTGAACCCCTGGCTTGCCTGACCATCCTTCTGCCTGATCCCCTGTACCGCGCTGCCCGTGAGTTACTGAACCCGGCTTGTGACCTTGACCATTCTCTGCCTGCTCCTTTGGTACCTTGCTGCCCGCACGTTGCTGACTTGGCCCGTCTGACCACGCTAACTACTCTGCCATCCATCCATCCTGCACGGATCCAGCCGTACCTGCACATACCTCTGGTGGATCCCTCTACCACTAGCAGGTGTACTCAGGGGCCGCGACCTGGTTCCTGTCTGCTCCAAGTCCATCCCCACCATCAGGGGCCCTGGTGAATAAGCAGACTGGGACTTAGACTCCGCGCCCTGGGGAATCCTGTCATGGGGACCACTAGAGGTACCACCAAACAGTCATTACAGAACCCTACGGCCGGCCTGACCGTTCCACCTCTCCAGCCCTGATTGCGCCTGTGTTCCTGCACCTACTAAGATTAGTGGAAGGTTGGTTTGTTCACTGTGCGCGTGTGTGTGTGTGTGTGTGTGTGTGTGTGTGTGTGTGTGTGTGTGTGTGTGTGTGTGTGTGTGTGTGTGTGTGTGTGTGTGTGTGTGTGTGTGTGTGTGTGTATATGTATATATATATATATATATATATATATATATATATATATATATATATATGGGTGGCTAATAATAAACTGTATTATACTATACCTGAAACCTGCGTTTCCCTGTGTCAGTCCACACCTTTCTGGTCATTCCTAGATTCCTGACATCCATAGTGTCTCCTTATCATATCCAGATTAGTCATCAGTTTTAATAATTTATTTTTTTTCAATTTCATCTAGCAAGTTAACACTTTATGAGGAGTAATGCTACGTTGTCGCTGGGGAGATGGTCATCTTCAGTAGTCAAGTCTTGTCTCCTGGATTCATTGGGTTTCTGAGACTAAAGATGCTTAATGCTATGTAAAAAAAACAAACCTAGGCAGGTGTAAGGACCTTGTTGTCCTAGATGCTTAAGCAGCCCCTGCTCCTCAACATCACTTTTTTTGCAAAATAGTTCCTCATGTATTAACATAAAATTATAAAGGTGAAATCCTTTAAAGTTGAACTTCAGCCTTACCTTCAGTCTTCTGCAGCTGTGTAGTCTTCTCTCCTGTACTGATGGTGCTTAGTCTGATTTCACAGCACACTGTGAGTGTCTCAGTGTGTGTTAGAAGCTACGGAAATTCATGTAAAGCCCATCATCCCGTTTTCTGGGTGTAAGAGGTCCAGTATCCTCTGTCCTTTCCTCCCCATTCTTACTGTTACTGGCTCACTCTTTTCATGAATTGGATTTCAATTCTTTAAAGGATAAGTGCACCTTATAAAAAAATAAATAAATGCACATCTTTTTGCAGGTAAAATATGTGCATTTATTATTTTTTTACTTGGAGCCTAGAAAGCATTGCACCTGTGATCAGCAGATCACGGGTGCCATGCAAGAGTCCTGCAGACTTGTCAGTGTGTCTGCCTGCCCATATCTTGTACAGGCAGGCAGATACACACTGACAGGAGGAGACAATGAGCTTCCAGAGTGCTCAACAGCGCTTTGGTAGTTCATTGAGAACTACAAGCCGAAAGCTGTAAAAGTCGGTACTTGTAGTTTTCCATTCACAGAATTCTGTGAATGAATGGAGCAGTCTGGTGGCAGGAGCCCCGCACAACTGCATTTTTTTCGTAAATGGTGACAGCTGGGGGAGAAGATCCCTCACTAGTTGTCACTAGATAGATACGGCGGAGTGGACAGCAACTCCAGGTGTGGGAACATGTTACATGTTCCACCTGTTTTTAGGGTGGAACATGTAATATGTTCCCAAAGGTGAACTTATCCTTTTAAGGCTCAGAAACAAGAGCCAGCCCAATGCTCTCATCATAGCTAAGGGCTCTTGAGATGAGTACTGAGATAAGGTGCTGTAATATTTCTAGGTAGCTATGCACTGCTCCCTGCTGGTGCATCCCACCAGCTCGGATCTGCTTAAATAGCACATAGACGCAGAGAGGGTCTAAGATAAGGTATGTAAGGAAAATGGAGCGGTTGTATTTAAAAATGTCATAGTGGTTATACAACCTTACATCCTGTACTCCCAGTGAAGTAACTAGCCTCAGGTGACGCACAGAGATTAAACTAATTTTCCTATCTTCAGTTGTACCTGTTTGTCTGCCGCAATTTCTAATACACAGCCTCCTATAACACATAGCGGTGGATTTACTGAAGCTGGTTCACTCAGAATCTTGTGCAGCTGTGCATGGTAGTCAATCAAATTTTAACCTGAGCTTATTCAATTAAGCTTTAGCAATAAAACGTGGAAGCTGATTGGCTTCCATGCAGAGCTGCACAAGATTCTGAGTGAACCAGCTTTAGTAAATAAACCCCATAGTTAACACAGCATATCAGAGCTCCAGAAGGCAGAGAGGGTTCTGTTGTCACACACTGCACAGCCCAGAGAGGACATGCACAGCTGGAACTGTCAATCACCTGCTCTGTGCTGGAGGGTGGCCATCTCTGGGGATTCTGTGGTGTAGAGTTAGACTGTCAGAAACCACATTAAGTGCTATAGATTGAGGCTAGTACACACTTTAGAAGGATATGTTTTTTGTTTCAGAGGTTTACAACCAAGTTACCAAAACACAATATAGGTTGAAAGTATGCTGGGACTTTTCAGGTGCTACATAGATGCATTGCACATAGATCGTATGTTGTACAGTATATTAAAAATATTTAAAAGTCCTCATTAAAAAAAAAAAAAAAAGAGATTTATTTTGGAGACCAACAAGGTTTTGGTACATCAACAAACACTAATCTCAAGTATCGTATGCCATAATGTTTGGATAGTCTAAAGATTGGACAATATGGCACCACCCCAATTAGCAAAATTAGACAACCACAAAGAAAATAATTCTTTGAAAATAGGATTCTAGGTTTTGCTCTCAGATATCACTGTGTAATTAGATATTTCCATGATCTCTGTCAGGTCTTGGTCAATAGCATTGAGAAGTACACCCAGGCCCTATGGTTACAATCATAATTTGAATATTCCACGCTGTTTCTTTGTCATATAGAAAGATCTGATGGATTGGGCAATCAGGGTACAATGTGTAAACCTGTCCTGTGGAATACTTGACATTGGTGTTCATTGAGGTACCAAGACCTTGTGGGCCTCACAAAGAAATGTATCTTCTTTTTAACCCCTTCCCCCTGCCACCTACCAGCCCTTTGAGGGTCTAAATACCGGGAGTCACAGTGGTCACATGGTCAGAAAGCTCCCGATCACAAGTATGCATTGGGAGCTTTATGGTACCCACCAGGTACTGTGCCGGAAGAGCGCTCTCAAACGACATGCTTACATAGTAACACATTTATGCGGCCGCTTAATATTAAAGCCCACCCGCCAAGAGGCTACATATGTGCATACGGCCAGTAGGAAGTGGTTAATGATGGCTTTAAAATGTATAACTATTCTAATAAAAGTAAGACAATTTTAATATACAACATACAGTATATAGCATGGTTCCAACCTAGAGAATATGGTGTTTTGGTTATTGTAAACAGGGATGTGGTGCTCCTACTCAGTAGGCCAGCCAAAATACAGTGCCTTGAAAAAGTATTCATACCTCGTGAAATTTTCCACATGTCATATTAAAATTCCAATAACAAATACATTTATGTTTTTTGTTTTATGTGATAGACCAACACAAAGTGGCACATCATTGTGAAGTGGAAGGAAAATGATATAATGGTTTTCAAAAATGTTTACGTGCACGTGTGGCATGCATTTGTATTCAGCCATCCTGGGTTAATACTTTGTAGAACCACCTTTCGCTGAAATTACATCTGCAAATCTTTTTGGGATGTCTTTATGAGCTTTGCACATCTAGAGTGTGAATTTTTTGCCCATTCTTCAAAATTGCTTAAGCTCTGCCAGATTGGATGGAAAGTGTCTGTGAACAGCAATTTTCAAGTCTTGCCACAGATTCTCAATTGGATTTAGGTCTGGACTTTGACTGGGCCATTCTAACACATGAATATGCTTTGATCTAAACCAGTGGTTCTCAACCTTTCTAATGCTGCGACCCCTTAATACAGTTCCTCATGTTGTGGTGACCCCCAACCATAAAATTATTTTCGTTGCTACTTCATAACCGTAATTTTGCAGTAGGAGGAGTAGTGCCACGTCATTGGTGTCAGTGAGAGGAATAGTGTCCCATCACTGATGTCAATGGGAGGAATAGTACCCCATCATTGGTATCAGTGGTAGGAATAGTGCCCCATCATTGGTGTCAGTGGTAGGAATAGTGCCCCATCATTGGTGTCAGTGGGAGGAATAGTGCCCCATCATAGGTGTCAGTGGGAGGAATAGTGCCCCATCATTGGTGTCAGTGGGAGGAATAGTGCCCCATCATTGGTGTCAGTGGGAGGAATAGTGCCCCATCATTGGTGTCAGTGGGAGGAATAGTGCCCCATCATTGGTGTCAGTGGGGGGAGGAATAGTGCCCCATCGTTGGTGTCAGTGGGGGGAGGAATAGTGCCCCATCGTTGGTGTCAGTGGGGGGAGGAATAGTGCCCCATCGTTGGTGTCAGTGGGGGGAGGAATAGTGCCCATCGTTGGTGTCAGTGGGGGGAGGAATAGTGCCCCATCGTTGGTGTTAGTGGGGGGAGGAATAGTGCACCAATGATCGGGCACTATTCCTCCCACTGACTCCCACTGACACCATGATACTTACCTTGCTGACCCGTTCTAGCCTGGGCTCGCTCGCTCCCTCCCTCTCCTATGGTACAGACACTTACTGGTCAGATGTCTTCCTTCTCCGGCCGCTCTCCTCCTCTTCACTCGCTCGATCTTCGCGGTTCCGCTCGGCTCCTCCTCTCCAAGCTCCACCTCCTCGCCGCCGGTGATTGGCCGCCTGTGTGCCTCTCCTGAGCTACAGTTCCAGCGGCCAATCACCGGCGAAGGATTGATCCCGGGGGTGTGTCTAGATGACAGGGACGGCATGTCATCCCGCCCACACCTGGAGACGGATAGAGGAGCGGTGTCTCGGTTCCTAAGGCAATCGGAAATATGTGTTTTCCGATGGTCTTAGGCGACCCCTGTGAAAGTGTCGTTCGACCCCCAAAGGGGTTGCGACCCCCAGGTTGAGAACCGCTGATTTAAACCATTCCATTGTAGCTCTGGCTGTATGTTTAGATTTGTTGTCCTGCTGGAAGGTGAACCTCTGTCCCAGTCTCAAGTTTTTTGCAGACTCTTTACGGGTTTTCTTCTAATATTGCCCTGTATTTGGCTCCATCCATCTTCCTTTCTTTCAACAATGGCTCTCTTGTTGCCAATCTTCCATAAAGGCCAGATTTTCTGGAGTGCACTGTTGACAGATTCTCCCACCTGAGCTGTGCTCCTGTGGACAGATTCTCCCACCTGAGCTGTGGATCTCTGCAGCTCCTCCAGAGTTACCATGGGCCTCTTGGCTGCTTCTCTGATTAATGCTCTCCTTGCCTGGCCTGTCAGTTTAGATGGACAGCCATGTCCTAGTAGTTTTCCAGTTGTGCCAAACTCTTTCCATTTTCGGATGATGGATTGAACAGTGCTCTGTGAGATGTTCAAAGCTTGGGATATTTTTTTGTAACCTAACCCTTCTTTAAACAACTTCATCCCTGACCTGTCTGATGTGTTCCTTGGCCTTCATGATGCTGTTTGCTCACTAATGTTCTCTAACAAACATCTTAAGGCTTCACAGAACAGCATTTATACTGAGATTAATTTATACACAGGTGGACTCTATTTACTAATTAAGTGACTTCTAACTAAAATCTAGTAGAACCAATTGACTTCAGGAGTATCAGAGTAAAGGGGGCTGATATTTATTTGTAAAAAACTGTGAAAACCCTTTATTATTTTCCTTCCACTTAACAATTATGTGCCACTTTGTGTTGGTCTATCACATAAAATCCCAATAAAATACATTTACATTTTTGGTTATAACTTGACAAAATGTGGAAAATTTCAAGGGGTATGACTACTTTTTTCAAAGCACTGTACATAATGAGTAATTAAAAATGTCATTAGCATGTTGATGAGGGGGAAAGGAGGAACTGGGGAAGGCAAATATAGATAGATAGATTACATTTCACCATGGGCAGCCAAAAATGACACTGTTTCATGGAGTCAGAAGCATTCAGGAAGGGGTGGACACATTAAAAAACATTTCTAAATGAAACCCTTTGTATAAAACAATTTTCAAAGATGGAGTTCCTCAAAATCTGGGAGAAATGTTTCTCTTCTGAAAATGTCAAAATGCTTCCTGAGTCACTTGTTTGGAACAAGGATGTAGCTTGTGAAGTCAGAGGGAAGTGATAACATTCGATTTGCATGTTTGTGCACTTGCCCACTTGAAGGCAATTAAATCTTCCCTATTTTCCCAGTGGAAGTTTGTGAAGGGACCCCACCTCCCAAAGCTCCCTTGTTAACCAAAGCATCTACTGTCATTTCATTACTTGGCAAGTTGTACGCCATCATTGATATTATATGTATCTTCTATTGAGCTATAGCATTTTATACTGCAGCATGATATTTAGATGGCACCTGCAAGTCTAATAAAAACATTTTTTTTTTTTTTTTCAAATGTATTTATTTTATTGTTTTTGTTTCACTCCCTGTATAGAATGCACAAGCTTGTGAAACCAGGAGTCGATAAAAAATATGTTGATTTGACGGTGTCTTTTGCCCCTGAATCAAATGAAGATGAGGATTTACCTGGGCCTCCTGTTAGATACTACTTTAACCAAGAGAGCAATTAATGGCACAAGTGCGGGTGTTATCTCCTATGTGTTGGTACTACTTGTCACATCTAGGTGAAGCCTTAATGAAGAGAAACAAGTGGAAGTAGTGATTTGCACTAATATTTTGCATAACAAAGACTGCATATATATAGTGTCTCCTTCATACTTTCTTGTACTTTTTTTTCTTTGTTACCAGTGGACTGGAATACAAAATTGTTTGGATGCAATACTCCATGCTATAACCCCAAAAAGATAAATGAATAAAAAAAAAAGCAAACGAATGGAGGACCAAGAAGACTATTTTCAAGTTCACCTTATTGTACCTCCTTTTCTGCAATGATAAGTGGAAGAATATTGTATATATTAGTACTATTAAGTCTGTGTGCCTTGCAGTAGGTTTATCTAAGTATGCACACACGAGAGCTCTCTGCTTTGTATGTATGTGTGTGTATGTATATGTGATCACTTAAACTAATATGTATCTATTTTATATGTACTCTGTTTCCTGAGTGTAAAATGTAAGCCCCTCTTATTTCGATATTGCTACCTTTTTGGGGTAATTTTTTCAAACAGGAAACAGAGTGAGCAAGTGAGATAATGTAACCTTTGCTATTTATTATAAGCAGAGTTACTGATCTATACAATGCCTTAGTATTTTAAGATGTGAGCAAGTGATGTAATGTAGGTGTGTAAGTCTGATTGTTAAGTATGTTTCTGCATAACATGCACCCTTTATTCTATTTTTTTTTTTCAGTGTTTTTGATAAATGCTTAAATGGTTTCAGTACAACTTCAATTTGCATAGATATGATGCACTTGCTGGTTAGTCCATTGGTGTCAGAATACATTGCACCTTCAGCTGGCTGCTTATATATCATGGGAGCTGTGCTGCATCAGCCCACAAGCATTTGCTGCCTTTAGCTATGTTGATGTTAGGTCTTTGTTCCGTGTTGTTCAGCATTGGTACATACTGTAATCATTTCAGTCGAAATTTCAAACTTCCTTTCGTGGTTCGTACAAGTCTTACTTTTAGGAAGGCTGTGGTTTTATTAAAATGTCACATTTTATTCCCCTATTACAGGGCCAGTACACCTAAACTGCAGAGTGGATTGAGCAAAAGAACAATATTTCATTGTGTAATATTCATAGATTTACATGGAGATGTTTTAGGTGCTTTACAGGTATTGAGTGAATCTGTAGTAAAAACACACTTGTGTTATTCTGACTACCCTACTCCTTGTTTTAGAAAATTATTTGAAAGATGAACTTCAGGAATTTAGCAACTTTGTAAAAAATACTGGCATACTATGAGTTACGTCCAGTGAGCTGCATGCCCCCTCCTGGACTTAACTCCTTAATTTATACCCAGCATGATTATGGTGCTCCAGGCAGATAGCTTCCAGAGCTCCGACGCTGGATGCTGTGGTCTCAGCTCCTTCAAGTGCAGGGTCAATGCAGTTACTATGCCCACCTCTCCCCTCCTTCTGCCCAATCACAGAAGCCTGTTTATTATGTGAACTCATTTAAAAAATACAAAGGCTTCTGTAAATGGGCAGCAGTGTCTTCTCCAAGAGTGTGATACACTTGTCAGATGTAAATAATAGAGAAAGGTCCAGGAGGTGGCATGCACCTCCTTGGACTCAACTCCTAGTATGCCAGCAAATTTATCAAAGTGGCTGAATTTCTGAATCTCAGATTTAAAATGGGGCCTTGATATATGTTCATGTCCTGCAGGAAACTATTTTTCAAGCTTTCACATGGCTGGTCACATGGTCTTCACCAAAAAGCCTAGAGAATCGATACCGATTCTCATCCAGCCTGAACTTTGATTGTCTCTATTAGTAAAGTTCACCGAACATTTATGTGCATAATTATATGACCAGCCACCATGGTAACCTAGAGCAGCACTGTGTGTACAGCCCAAGTGTTCTTTTTTTTTTATTGTTTATTATAACAGAGTAGTCATGTTGGGGAGAGAATTTGGTTTTCAGGAATAGGTCTGCTTTAAACCTAGATTATACAGTTGAATATAGCTGTGCCTAAGTAAAGTGGTAAGTATACCTTCGAAACATCTCAGCAACTAACAAAATAGTTGTACCCCTGCAAAACACGCAAAGAGCAACGCTGCCAATTTACACTTTATTACCTGCTTTACACCTGTTGGGGAGGGATATCCCACCAAAACCTCAATTCCCCCCCAGGCTTTCTTTGGTTTCTTACCTTTACCACAGTTCCCCTCTAAAGTCAGTGGCAGTGGTTAGTGACACCTAGTGTTGTTGATAGATGCATATTCCCTTGCACCCTCCCTGCCTTCATCCAATGCTGGGTCTTGAGCAATCAGTGAACATTGTGGGGACACTAATGTTGGTAGACATGTTCCTCCATACTTAGAAGTAGTAGGATTTGTACAGAGCAACAACAGGGATCAGCAAAGGGTGGTAATAAGGTTTGTATAGTCCTCAGATGGTGTCTAGTATAAGGGTCGAGCGTGGAGCGTGGGTGGATCAAGCACATATTGTTTTCTGATAGATATGCTTTAAGGTAACTATATTTTGCTGTCCATCTATTCTGCTTACTGGCACTGCAGGCGACCTGTGGTTAGCCCTTTTTTAAGCAAGACATACAAACACCCTGTGAACATTGACATAGGAACAATTTGTTCTTTGAAAATTCATTTTAAATAAAATATACATATCTATTGTTTGCCCTTGTCGTTGGAGTTGACCTTACATGTAAGCTAGCCATACATGGTGAGATTTCTCTCATTCAGCCCCACTGAAATCACTTGATTCATAATAAACACTGGGAAAGAGGAATATCCACTTGATGGGTATTTATTTAGATAACTAAGGCACATGTGTGCACCATATGTACTCCTTACCACTTGCAGAGAATTTCAGAGAAATATTAAGTATGTCTGGATCCTAATCGCAACCATTCCATTTTCTTCATAGGAAAGGAAACAGGCTATTCCTTCTGCATCCCCTGCAGTAAGGTCAGGTCAGGGGGTGGGCAGAAGAGGTGTTTGCCTTGGGCACTTCAGCAGCAGGGGGGCACAAAAGGGGCAGAACTTGCAATCTGTGCTGCTAAAGTAGTTTAGTACCCAAGGCAAAAAGACCAAAAAGCTTCTCTACCATGAGCTGTAAAGGACTTTGCCTTGCAGTTAGAAGTCAGGGTCTGATGTTGTGGTAGATTCCTCAGTGCAGCTAGTTTTATAAATAGGCAGCTCTTCCATCTTAATGACATTTTGCTAACGTACTGTATGATCAGCCATAAAGGAAATTTGTACCAAGAGGCATGGAAGCTGAGCTGCTGCTGAACATGATAGTTGTTTTGCTGTCTCTGAGTTCCACACTTTGAGTGGCTGGCGTGCATGAAGTATGAAGATAGTGAAATCAGAATGAAGTGCATATTTTCTGGGTGAGTGTACTGATGGCATTGTGCTAGTATGGCAGCCAAGAACTAGTGTTTTTTTTTTCAGATGCAGATGTCAATAAGTGCAGCTACCGCATTTCTTCAGGACAGGTTTCCTTAGACGTAGACCTGTCAAAAACCTGGGCAATGGAAACTATACAGTGAAGAATATGCAGCAACACAGGTCAAAAATCTCAGTTGCTCTAAAGATGTAGGCATGATCTCAGGTGCACATCTTAACATTTAATGCAAAAGATGAGGTAGACCCCATCCCTCCCACTCACCAAGCCTCCCTTTTGATGCTTTCATATATTGGGTGGCTTCACTAAACATTAGTACGTTTCTTGACACAGAAGGGTTGGGGGCAAGCATTAAAATTTACAACAAAGCCAAAACTTTCATATAATCTCAGCTGACTATAAATTGACATGGTTTTGACAAGTGGTAGACTCCGATTTTGCATTATTCATATGTTCAGATTGAATTACTTATGCCTGCAGGTTTATAGAAAGCAGGCCATAGACAGCTAGTGACATTTGTCCAATTCAGTCTTCTTATAAAGAATCCTAAAGTAAGGTTTAAAAGCATTTAGATAAAGTAAAAAGTACCTGTTCGATAGAAAAGGTGAGCCATTACGTATATATTTTTGCTTGATTTGAGTAGTATAAAAGAAACATGCATTTTAGGATTACTGGTTCTTTAATTTAAAGCAGAACTAAACCCTCCTGTCCTTTTTAAAACCAAGAAAGCTGACATCTTAGCCTCTGTTTGATCTGCAACTGCCATGGTGCTGCTCATGTGATCATTTATGACACCAGCCATAACTTCACTTCCCGAGCAAATGTGACAGTTATATTCACGGCATGCCTGGAATGTAACTGTTTTTTCAAACCATTAAATCGGTGGGTTTAGTTTCGCTTTAAATATACGAATCAATACAAGAACAGTAGAGAGTCCAGGGTTGTTCATCTCCTTTTAAAATGCTGGCTTGTGTATGTTATGCAGGCACTCTATTTCCAGTGCTTTCACAGTCACAGAAAGTATTTAAGCAACAGGGTCAACATGACAACCAGCCAAATAGTATTTTTGAAATAGAAATCCTAAGTGGCAACCTCCATGTTTCTCTTATAAGCTCAGTCCTTGACAGCTGTATTTAATGGACAGTTCTGTGTAGACAACGGACAGATTCCCATGGTTTACCTGAATGCAACTGAACTAAATTATGGCATCTCTTTGCTAATTTAAAGACAATGACAGCTGGTATCATATTACTTTTTGCCTAGTATTTAAATTGTACTCTTTTTAACTATCACATTGAGGTTTCTGTTTAATTAATGCTATCTTGCTTGTGACTTGAACTGAATCAATCTTTTCACTACTGGAACAGTCCAGGGATTCAGCATGGAAAGCAGATACATGAGCCAGAGACTATCATTTAATATCTGTGTTCCTTGTATCATTTTTATTGTTGTTTTTTATTTCCTTTGTGCTCAGGGGTGTCCGTTGCCATATGCAAGCAAGACCATTGCAACAATGACAAGTCTGCAGCTAAAAAAAAAAAAAAAAAAAAAGTGTTTTAAATATGTAATAATATTTTGGTTGACT